TGGAGTAAAATATAGGAAATTGCAGGGGAATGAAAGGAGCAGTTTAGTTGGAGGAGGCAGAACAATTGGGTATGAGAAAACAATTGGAAAAGCTGAGAACTAAGTTTGAAATATTGACATAGGCTTGTAAATTGCTACTTTGTTATAATGTTGAGAAGGGAGAGAAACTTAAAAGGAGAATAATTTTATTTTGCAGTAATGTTAACTGGTAAAACTATGAACTTGGCAAGCTGTTTATTTTTGGAGGGAAATCCCTAAGATCACTTTGCTAAATTTCTTTTCAGTGTGATAACTGTGGAACTGATCCAATTCAAGGCGTTCGGTGGCACTGCCAAGACTGCCCTCCAGGACTATCTTTGGATTTTTGTGATTCTTGTTCTGACTGGTAAGCAGCATGCCCTGAAGATTAGCATCGACCATTACATGGGCTTTATTTTTAAATGTTCATCTTAAAACATATATTGTAGAGTTCATAACCTTTTTAGAATATATAAGGGATGCTTGTGATACTTTTAAATATAGGTTTGTAGGGGACATAAATGTGCATGTCCTTGGTGCACATGTTTATTGGTTGAATAAACCCTAAGTTTTTATATTAGATAAATTGTATAATGCAACAAGTTTGGATCTCAAAAGTAACATATTGAAGGGCCAAAGGGAAACGTGTGTTTGGGGGGAGGGCACTATTGCAATTTAACTATAAATATGTAAATAATAGGTACTGGAACAAGTAGATAAATGTGTTCAGAATATTTATTAAAGATGGGAATGTATATAGAATATTTACAAAAAATGAGAAAATAAATAGAGAACTGTTAAGATGTGCAGATGCTGGGAGAAAGACAATGGATGTTATTTTTTGAAAGAAATGAATGTCAAAGTGAAGGTAAAATAGCTATATCTGAGAACATGTTTCTATCGTATTGTATCTCAGGAGAAGAATAAATCCAAACTGAATGCAGTAGAATGGGGTACTTAAAAATGTGTGGGCTAAACAGGAAAAGGTAGAACCAAGAATGTATGGATGCTGAATGAATTTGGATTAAATACAGAAGTGAGTGACAGGTACAAAATAAACATTTTGAAGTGGTTGGTAGTAAAAGAGAATGAATGTGAATTGACGTGCAAAACAAATACATAAAAGAAATAAGCTGAGAGGAAGGAAACGAGCAAGCCAGATGTGATTAGATGAAGTTGATAAGGTCTTCAAATAAAGAGATGAGAAGTTTAAAGAAACAAGAAGCAATGTGCAAAGCAAGTACACAGACATGGAAAAAGCAAGGAGGGTTTGCAAGGATAAAAAAGTATGGAAAGTATAGTTCATAAAATTGGGGATAACTATAGTTAGAACACAAATCTGGCTTTTTCTTATCCCATGTCTTAATTTCTTTAAAATGTTTGGCTCCCTGTTTCTTTCTTCCTTTCCACAGTAGGCATATTCTTTTTCTAAGTGATTAGCACCATGGGTAATTCATGTTGAAAAACATACCTTCCTGATATACACAATTCATTCTGAGAGGAATTTATATATCCAGTTTAAAATAGTGAGTGGATTATGAGCAGTGTCATGCTTCACAAATAATGGTTTTTCTTTTTCTTTCAGTCTACACGAAACAGATATTCACAAGGAAAATCACCGATTGGAGCCTATTTACAGAGCAGAAATGTTCTTAGATAGAGACTACTGCATGTCCCAAGGCCCCAGCTATAATTATCTTGACCCCAACTACTTCCCTGCCAATAGATGACAAGGAAAGTAGATGTGCAACCTGAAACATAGTGTCACTTCTGAAAACCCAACAGCGGCACAGTCATTGATGCTGTGCCCACTTTGGAAAGACATGTACTTTCCCAGGAATGTCATCCACTGCATGAGAGCTTCCCAGGTGCCCTTTTCAAAATACAGCTCTCTGACCCGTCTTGTTACTAGATCACTAAATAAAGGTTGAACATTCCTAGTGTGCAGGTGGCTATACCGGGCAGATTTTCTTCACTCCATTAGTCTTTTTTAAAAAATAATAATAAAAAAAAGTCCAAGAGATGAGTTACAAAAGTGTGGCCAGAAAAGAAAGCACACGTTAAACATAGTCAATTCCAGAGGCTTAAAGAACTTGGCTATTGTGCGATAAACAGGCGATGAAATACTTAACATTGAAACAGTTTAGTAGTTTGCAGTTTTGTTGTGGAAAATAGTCTCCAGCAAAGAAAACTGACTTCTTTCAGCAAAGTTTTAGCCTGTGGCAGTGTTTGCTTCTAGGAACGTACTCATAAAACAATCACTGTCCCAGAAGTGGTCGTGATAGGCCTTGGAGCTGCTTAATTACGTAGATGTTTCTTTTACCTCCTTTTTTTTCTTTTTTTCTTTTTACCACAAACTTATTTACCGAGAGTGAAGCACTACAGGAGGCAATTGTGGCACTGCTTCCTTAACCAGCTCATGGTGTGTGAATATTATAAAAATTGTCATGCAGATATATTTTTAAATGTAATGTTATATAAAATGACCATGTGTTGTGTACAAAACTATGGTGAGAAGTGCCAGTGGTAGTAACTGTGTAAAGTTTCTAAATCCCCACCATTAACTCTTACGGAATACACAGCCTTCTGCCTCTGTATTTAGAGTTGTTAATGCAACTCATCAAAGAAAACTGCCTAATATAAATCATATATGGTAATAATTTTCCTCTTTTGGTAGTATGCACAAGGTCCATGAAAGATTGTATTTTTATTACTATTTAAACAAGGTGATTAAATTTAGCCTGAACAGTGAGCAAGACTTCACATGCATTCTTTTATACTGCTGGATTTTGTTGTGCATCATTTAAAACATTTTGTATGTTTCTTCTTATCTGTGTATACAGTCTGTTCTTAAATAATGTTCAGTTGTCAGGAGAACTGTGAGAAATAAACTATGTGGCTACCGTCTGTTTATATATAGAATGGTTACCGTGACTTTTTTCTGAAAAGGGTGGATTTTTGAACCAACCCTTCAATTTGAAAATATCAATTAGGCCGTAGAGAGAAGGGGTGCCTCGACTTCATCTTTTGTCTTGCTGTTTTACGCCATCTCTTCCAGGATAATGCTCCAGCACCCTGATTTGAACACGTCCACTAAATTCTGTACACAACCCTTTCTATGCTCTAATGCGTAGATGCACCACTTGTGTGAGAGCAGATTTGCACAGCCAAAGGAATGCTCTTTTCAAAGCTCTTTCCGTTGTTGAAACAAACGGGGAATCAATTACGTGGAAGAAGAAGAATTCAAAAATGCCCACAAGACTTCTGTGTAACCTGTTTTTAAGTCCACGATTCTTATTTCCGTGTACTTGTTCTGCATATCCATCTCCCTTCTCCATTCTCTTTATGAAATAAAGAAGGCATTTTGGTACGCTTTATTAGGTGGAGAATAGCAATGACTGAAAAAGCTTTGTAGCATTTACTATATATTTTTAGTTAATATATCATTTCAACATGTGTAAGTTGTGATCCGGAAACGCGACTTATTTTAACTGTATTAGATTTCCACTTGCTTTAAAAAGAAACTTGAATTTTGGAAGTAATTTAGTATATGTGTTTAAATTAAACTACAGCAGTAACTAACAAGGAGTTGGCTGGCTCGTTTAATAACAGCATTAATTTGAGTTTAATTTCAGTGTTAATTTTCACATTTTGTTTAGGTGTACTCACTTTCTGTTAGAGGAGTTGAAGCATTTTTAATGGATAGATGATGCAGTATCATTTCTAAATGACATCGTCTGTAAGCATATCTCATTCTTGAGAAATTTAATAAATCAGAATATATATAATATAAAACCATACACCTGATGTATTTCACTTTTCTCATTAATGGTAGCAAAACTGTAATGCTTTGGGAAACGAGTATCTAATGCAAATATATTTCATGTTATCAGATTATATGTTCTCTGCACCCAGATGCTACTTTCTGATTCAGTATTAGGTTGGTTAACATATTCCAGATTTGTCATATGGGCATGTTCTAGGTACTCATTTTCTATATCCTTTAGCTAGAAGATTGGTTCAGGTGATCATACTGGATTTAGATTTTTCTATAAACAAGCCTCTAGAGATGTGAAAAATGTTCCAAAGTTAAAAGTTTCCATTGTGGAAAGCATTTCCTTTTGGAAAATAATCCACTTTCAACAAAATGAGCCACTCTATCTTGAAGTCTTTCGCTGAAATAGGATATTTGGGGACTTAAAGTTTTAGCTTCAGAGTGTTTTGCTCAGCTCCTTAAGGCAAACACTGGTTCCAGAGTAAACCCTATAATTCCAAGCAAATTTATGTGGCAAGCCAAAATTATAAGGAAAACTATCTTGTTTTATAATTATCTCATTCCTCCATTCTTGTTCAAAATATGTTTTCCTACCCAAATAATGGCTTTACAGATCTCCTAAATTCATATTGGAAAAAGCAGATGATTGTCTCAAATTTGCATTGGTAAAAGCTGTTTTTCAAGACAGACTGCTGACTATACATTACTTCTCAGAAGTGAGAAACTGCATATATGTTACATGTTTTCAGCAATTGACTGTACCCCACCCTCCTTATGCTGGTCTATGACCATAATAAAGATTGATTTGATACATTTTCAGCAAAGTTTCAAATGCCCTTTGAATTTAAAATTTTGTTTTCCCATTGCCCTTTACTTAGCGTAGAAATTTTAGGGTTCTTGCTCAAAGTGCAAACCAGATTTTTATTAGGTTCTTGTCAAACAGTTCAAATTTGTAGTTAATATTTTTTGAGATTACTGTCAAATGTCTTTAAATACAACTGTCTTGTTTTGAAAGTTGTACCACACTTGTTTCTTAGTGGAAGAATGTCATCTAAAAGAACTGAAAGGAATGTTCATAACCACAACTGTAAAAGTTTTCAAAATTCAAAACTGCACCCAATTAAGTGAAAATGTTTTTATGTGGCCTTGAATTGGATACTATTTGTTTTGCAGGAGCCTTAAATACAAAAAGTAAATTTGATTACCCTTAACATTTGTCCATACATTTTATTTTTATTACCTTTTCATACAAGAGTAGTAGGTTGAAAAATACAAATTTTGCTGAATTGCTCGTTGATAATGCAACTATTGATAGGATCTAGCATGCAAGAAGAAATAGTGGACAGCCAAAGAAAAGGAGGCAGTTTCTTATACAGATGATTAAGATTTTCTTGTCTGTTGATCAACATTCCAAAAACCTTCAATATTTCAGTCATCAAGTGTATCTATCTTGAAGTCTTTCGCTGAAATAGGATATTTGGGGACTTAAAGTTTTAGCTTCAGAGTGTTTTGCACAGCTCCTTAAGGCAAACACTGATTCCAGAGTAAGCCCTATAATTCCAAGCAAATTTATGTGGCAAGCCAAAATTATAAGGAAAACTATCCTGTTTTATAATTATCTCGTGTGTGTATATACACATGTGGAAATCTGAATTAAACACTGCTCATTTACATTTTAAATTTCCCATGTTAAATGCCAAGCAATAAAATAAAGGATTTAAAGCTGACAATTGCTATATGTAGCTGTCACATATACAGCAATCAGTATATAGAGACAATTATTGCCTGTGATCTTGAAATCCGTGTTATTTTTTTATACTTGGATACTGCCATTTATTAGCTCTTTAAGGATATAAGCAATATTTGGCACTTTTTTTCTTTTCTGCATACACTATACTCTGTTAGCATTGTAAATCAAAATTCTTTCAAACCATAACTACATAGAATACTTGCACGGATGGTCGTATCAATACAACAGCTGGTCCTGCAATCAATTATTTCACATTTGGTTCATGTATGGCATATCACGCTTCTTTTTGTGACTCTCCCAATTCCACTATTTGGTGTGTAAATGACTGCAAACTTAATTGCAGACATGTTCTTGTAAAAGAAAATGACAGAAAACAGACTGTTCAAGCACTACAAAAAAAAAAAAAGCAAGCTTAAATAGCCTCAAAACTTGATCTGCGTTCAGCAGCAAATTCACTGTTACAGCACTTCTACTGACAGGGAATACTGTGCTTGACTGTATAGTATGTCTTGTAGTAGTGAAATGAAGAATGTGTGTGTTCTATAAAACTCAGCTGCTGTTTACCATGCTGGCTTTTTTAAATCTCTGAACTGCAAACTCTATCATAGGCCATATACATTACACATGTGTCATTACGGTACCATTTAAGTTACAAAGATTTTTACAATGTTTACAACATGCATTAATCTTTCAAGGCAGCGGCTATTGCTTTAAACAGCATTTGTAAAGGACACTATGCATGTATCTGTTGCAGCACTGCCATTACATTAAATTCTGAAAGTGATGCTATTCCTTCAGAAAAGTATTGACTGAAGTGCATATCTCAAGGAAGACTTCCTCTGGTGTTCCTTCTGCATTTATCTGTTTAAAAAAAGAAAAAAACATACACAGAAGTTAATTTCTCCTTTAAGATTCATCTCACGTAGTAAAGGACAACAGCAGCCTTACATAATTAGACGCCTCCCAAACTTCCCAGACTCAATAACCATTGTAGCCAAGGCTGAAGAATGCTGAAAAAGAAAAGCATTCTTGAAGAAACTGCAATATTCAAAACCAAAAACAAGGACTTTTAATTTTAAAAAAGATCTCGTTATGAGGTCCTTGATGTTTTCTGAGCTTGGTGGGTTTTCTTGCAGAAGTTTCATTACCAAACTAGATGACACTAGTGTACTGATGATGTTATCTAGTTTGGTAATGAAATGTCAGCAAGAAAGCCTGCAAGCTCAGAGAGCACCGAGAACTCCAAAGCTTAACCTGAGTTACAGATATTATCTTCTATCAAGTAAATTCAGCCATTAATTTGAATGCTGAGTGGGAAACAAGTGGAAAAGCAGGAAGAGAACTTCACAATGCTTTGCTTGGGAACAATACTGCCTGATACTCATGTCTACGAAAGCATGCCATTGAATATTTTATCAGGTTGCGTCTCTTGTCAGCAAGGAAATAAACTGACTGACATCACTAGTGGAATTCAAGCAACAGGCACCAGCCAAGCCTTTATAATATTACGGTAAAAAATCTTAAGGAGAAAGTGGTTTAGGATTGGTTTGTTGTTGAAGGCCACGTATTCTGTCAACCTGCTAATTATTGGGATGTACAAAATATTTAACACATGCTATAACCTTGAGACTGAACAAACCTTTGCAGGCAGCCAGAAAATTGATGTGAGCTCCTCTTAATAGCATCTAGGGCAGTAAAATGTTTTGCAAAATGTTAACAGGTATGCTGTATCAGCCAGAACCTCACTTCCCATGACATCACTAGGAGGGGACTTCCTCTTATTTCTCCTTATGCAACCTCTGACACAACAGAATTGCTTTTTTTTGACCGAGAAGTCCTACCTATGAGAAGAACTACCTATGAGATGAAACAGGTTGAGAACCTCTGTTCTAGGCCATAGTTTATAAGCTCCTGCAGTGGCAACAAACAACCCTGAACTGAGATAATAACTCCTATTTCTTCCCATGTATTATTATTCTTAGATTTTAATTTGCTTTGGGGGAAAAAACCCAGCTCTTTACCTAAAACATCCAAAGTGAAAAACATACTGGGGAGGGAGACGTGTGAATCTTATAATAATCAGTTCTTAAGTGTTTTGGCAGCCGATGCTTTCTATGTTTCACGCTGAGCATTTTCAAGTGAGAACCATTTTCAAATCTCAATATGGAGATAATCTCTCAATAGCAGAAGACATTCTGACTTTCCTATTCTCTATGAAAGAACTGAGTACACAAATTATTTCAGTAATAGCAAAAAAGAAAAAGGCAATAGAGGCAATTTTCTATTTATTTTTTTGCCATTTATAATAATAGAATTGCATAATATAGCCTAGATACTAACCAGCAACAGTATAGTAAGTAGCTATTTTCCTAATCTTCTATTAAATACATTCCACTTTCTGGAATGTATTACAGTTGGGGATTTTGTTGTGAGTGTGAGAAAATTTGCAAAAGGGTATACTTAAATAACTTAATTAAGGAAATTATTCCAACTAAGAGTTTTAAATATTAAGTAGAAAAGGAAAATAAAGGGAGACTGAATTGCCAAATTATTTGTAATCTAAAATAAATGCCAAATAAATTTCACTCAAGTGTATTGGAACAACAGGTAGGATGTGCTATGTTATACAGAAATGTATTTAAAATCCAAAGGCTGGATTTATTCTAGATTATGTCATACTTCATAATGAAAACAATGAGTGTTAAACTCGTGATTAAGTTTTTTTCAATTTCAATGTATTTAAATTTAGTGAAATGGCAAATCATCTGCCATTTCTCAAGTTTTGACAGCATGTTTGAGTCAGACTGATCCAGAACACAAGCTTAAGATACAGAAGGATCTTGACAGATTTGAACATTGGGCGCTATCTAACAAAATGAAATTCAATGGTGAAAAAAGTAAGGTTCTACATTTAGGCAAGAAAAACAAACTGCACAGGTACAGTGTATGTGGTACCTTGCTCAATAGTAGTAACTGTGAGAGGGATCTTGGAGTCCTAGTGGACAACCATTTAAATATGAGCCAGCAGTGTGCAGCAGCTGCCAAAAAAGCCAACACAGTTCTGGGCTGCATAAACAGGGATAGAATCACAATCACGTGAAGTGTTAATACCACTTTATAATCCCTTGGTAAGGCCACACTTGGAATACTGCATCCAGTTTTGGTTGCCACTATGTAAAAAAGATGTGGAGACTAGCAAGAGTGCAGAGAAGAGCAACCAAGATGATAAGGAGACTGGAGGCTAAAACATATAAAGAATGGTTGCAGGAACTGGGTATGTCTAGTTTGATGAAAAGAAGGAGTAGGGGTGACATGATAGCAGTGTTCCAATATCTCAGGGGCTGCCACAAAGAAGAGGGAGTCAAGCTATTCTCCAAAGCACCTAAGGGTAGAACAAGAAGCAATGTATGGAAACTAATCAAGGAGAAAAGCAACCTAGAACTAAGGAGAAATTTCCTGATAGTTAGAAGAATTAATCAATGGAACAACTTGCCTCCAGAAGCTGTGAATGCTCCAACACTGGAAGTTTTTAAGAAGAGATTGGATAACCATTTGTCTGAAGTGGTGTAGGGTTTCCTAGCTAAGCAGGGGGCTGGACTAGAAGACCTCCAAAGTCCCTTCCAATTCTGTTATTCAGAAGAACACTCTCTTTTCATGGTGCAATGTTCTTGTTTTTTTATCCTTCCTTATGGGTTGCAACTATTGTATTAATTCCACAGAAGTGTAAGGGAGAATTTTGATTTTCTGCACTACATTCGAGCTCTGTGGTCTTTTCTGCTTTTAACTTCCCACATATATTGGGGGGTGGGGGGTGGGGGAGATAGTTGAAAAGCAGGCACCTGGGGGCAGATATAAATCCTATTTCTCCACCATGACATCAACTCCAAGACCGGAAAGCAGAGAGGAATGTAACAACCTTTCTGTTCTTTTATGATGTTTGAGGAACAAAAATATGGCCACTGGCCAACTAATCAGTCATCCCAAAACATGACCTGCCAACATATGAAGGTGAAAGAACTGACTAAAGAAAAGGATCTAAATCAAACATAGTTTATCTGACAAATGAAGCAAATATGCATGTCCCGGGATAATGTTGCAAGACATTTAGTCTTCTGAGCTTTCCTCAGGGAATTTCTCTCTACCAGAATATAGTTTATCTGTGACATGTTTTTTTCATTAGATTTTTTTCTCCTTGTTTCTGGCCACTTTATCTATACGTAATGATCAGGCAGAATATAATTCACTTTAATTTTTAGTCTTTCCTGGATTTTCTCTTGCTGTTTACAGGGATATGCTAACATGCATCTTGCGACTTAAAAAAAAAAATAGTATCTTCCTTCTCAGTAGTAGAAACTGAGTGAGAGGACTTACTACGTCAGAACATTTATGACACAAGTGAATTATCTCTTTAAAATGTTACCAGATAAACAGAAGACAGAGCAAGTAGAAAGTCAAGGCAATATACCTTAAAAAGTGGGATTCTGTTTTCGTAATATGCAATTAGTGGCTCAGCTGTTTTATAGTAAGCTTTGATGCATTTCATCATAGCTTCAACATTATCCTCAAGGCACTGACTTCTTTGCAGAAGACGACTACTCATAGTCTTAGAAGAACAATCCATGCAGATTACCAGAGAGGGCTCACCGATCTGAAGAAATGGAGAAAAGAAATGGCATCAGTTTTTCCACTTTTTTAAAAAAACTGTTTCCTTTCTGATTAAATTAGTTCAGCATAATTTTCTTTCTTTATAGGAATAAGAACAGAAAGCAATAACCAAATACATGGGTTTGTACATAAGATTTAGACAGAATTATTGCCTGTGCTTTTACCTACAGTTTTTTTTTAAGGAGCAAGAAAACTATATGTTTCAGGATGATTTATGTATGATTGCGTGAGCCAGGGGTGGGTTGTACTTACCTTTACTACCGGTTTGCACATTGCATGTGCAGAAGCTCCCTGATGATGTCGGGGTCGGTGGGTAGAGCCTCCCGCCAGTTTTACTACCGGTTCTTGCGAACCAGTCCGAACCTGGGGCAACCCACCACTGGCATGAGCCCTAAAGTCATTGTTTACAATCTCATGTTATCTTCAGAATAAACGTATGTTGCAGGGTAAACTGATATGTGATAATAATAAGATAGCTTTACCATCCTGTATTTATTTTATTAAACAATATTAGCAAACAATATTTGTATGCATCTCTTGGTGTCATATAAAAATATTTACACAGAAGTGTGGGATACAAAGAAAAGTTTTTTTGAGGAAGTAGAACTAATCCCAGTCATTCAGTTTAATTCTAGTCTCATGAAGCTCAAAGGAAGCTTCTCCTGTTTATACAAGTTATATAAACAAAAGCTTCTATACATATGATTGTATGTTTAAAACCCTTTAAGGGTTAGGGTTAGGGTTAGGGTTTAAACTTCAAGGGTTTTAACCTTAAGGGTTTTAAGCCTTTTTTCCTTTTTCACAGTTTTATTTCTGGGTGTCACCCCAAAAGTAAGGTTGGAAATGTTGGAAATCTTTTAAAAGTGACATTATGAAACTCCCATTTTTATAGGTTTGCTATGCCTCCAAGAATATTTCATATACACACAACAATAATAACAGAGAAAGTCTTTTAAATGCTGCTTGTAAGGCTGGTTCTGGTGGCTATTTAACATGTGAATTATGATAAGACAAAGAAGTCTTTCCATGATGAGATTATAAACTTTCTTTGAAAAGGCCAAATTGTTCCTTGAGTTAGTTTGACTTTTTTAAAAAAACAAAACCTCTCTGGATTTTGTCTCTATAGGGAAGGAGACATTCACTTTGCTTAAGACACATTGCCATGAACAAATATCTTTATTAAATAAAGGACATATAAAACTTTTTAGTATCATTAATTTAAACACGTATCTCCCCAAATTTTAACTATCCAAACAAAAAAAGGTGGGAGGTGGAGAAAAAAAGGTAAGTACTACAAGGTAATATTGGAGAGGAGAGCTTAATGATGTTCATACACAACACAAGGCGGCACCACTATACCAGAAATTAAAACTACACATTCTATCCTAGTGAGGAAATTCTTTTACTGAAACACATGGATCTATTTTTATTCTCCAGAGTTCCCGCAATGCAACTATGAACTGAAAAAACAATTAAATCTTTGCAGCGCTACAGGGTCTGGACTTAGAGAACAAATCATTGTTTCTCAATCACAAATAACAATATAAAATTAATGATTAATTTTATTAATTAAAGATGCTAGGAGACACACAATGTTGGAAATATCATTTTTTCTGGTGAAATTCTTGCATTGCAATGAAGGATGTTGGGACAGTTTTGTTTTATTTTTCTACCTCTTCAAGCAGTTTTTCTCTTTAGTATTGGGCATTGTCCTTGTCTTCATTAATTAATAAAATAGATCATTAATTTTATATTGTTATCTCAAAGTGTGAAACAATGATTTGTTCTCTAAGCCCAGACACTGTAATGCTGCAAACATTTTAGTTATTTTTTCAGTTCATAGTTGCATTATGGGGACTCTGGAGAACAAAAGAAGAGAAAAGGAAATGGAAAGAAAAAAAGATAAGGACAATGCCCAATACTAAAGAGAAAAACTGCTTGGAGAGGTAGAAAGAAAAATAATAATAAATTGTCCCAACATCCTTCATTGCAATGCAAGAATTCCACCAGAAAAAAATGATATTTCCAACTCTTCTCTTAGTTCCAGTTAATAGGTTGTAGTGACAGGGGCAGAAAAAATTACATTGCATTATAGCTTCAGGTTGGTTTACAATTTTAGGAAGGCAGGAGAAGTTAGACCCAGAACTACTTTGGGGGGGGGGGCAACTGTTTTATATGACCTTTAATCATTCTCTTGTATTTCATAAATTGCAAATTAAATTTATGAAATGCAAGAATAGGATTTTATGTTGAAGATACAGTATAGCCACAGTCAGTTGCCATTGATTGATTGGAGTTGCCAGATAATCCCTAAATTATTCATTCTTTTGAGACTGTCCATAAAATGCAGTTTGGGCTAAGAAAGATGACTATCTCCATCTATTTGCAGAATGGTTGTACTTGAATTAAGATTAAATTTTGTGTGCCTAAGAACAACTCAGGATCTTTATGGCAATGAGGGCTTCTGCTAAGGCATGGCTTAGTGAAAATATCTCTGTGAATGAGCAGAAATGGCAACCACTCTGTAGAATGAAAGAATGGTAACTAGAGAAATTATTCAAAGGTCTCCAGAGGAGAGAATAGGAAATGGCCCATGAGTGTTCTGAACGGCAGCTCTTCATCAGGAGCCTTTAAAATAGTGGTCTCCAGTGGGTTTGAGCGCCAAGAGCCATTTGCTCTCATTTTGATATCCTATGAAATGTATCCTCATAACTAGAGGCAATTTGTAGAAATAAATCCAGGCAATTATTATTCAGCCTGAGAAAGAATAAAGGAGGACTTAAGGTAATTTTCCACTTCTTAAGGCTTTTCTCTCTACAAAAAAGAGAAAAAAACCCATCTAGACCAGCTGCTAGCATCAACATATGTGGGGATTTTAAAAATAGATGTTTGAACGTCATTCTTTAAATTGAACCTAATTTCCAGTTTGACTGATCCAAATGGCAAAATCATTTGAGACCATCTGTCCAATTTGATTGTATTCACTTGAGATTCCATGTCAAAGTTTATATGCACAGCAAGTCTATTTATATTTAGTAACAAATAAGTATAAAGCTTAATCCCAAGAGACATTTTGATAGTTAAGCCTCTGTCATGGCAATAAAATTATACAAGGAAGTATAGTAGGCAAAGAATTTTTTTTTTTAAAAAAAACACCATGTTAGAAATTGTCTAAATTACACATTTACTTACAGTTGAATGTTTTCCAGAAGTGGAAATTAAATAGGTTCTTTTTTAAAAGCTCAAGGTGATTGTCTAGTTATAATCTATTATTTAAATCAATACCTTATATTGTATCTGAACTTCAGTACAGTGTGATATAAATTATAGTAATGTAGATTCCATAGGTTTGATGAATGATTTTTATTTGTAATCTGTGATAATCTAAATATAATTTATTTTTGACCTAGCATTTTCTGCAAACTCAGCCAACTGTTGCTTATTAATCAAACATGCTTAAATAAACCATGGGTTGGCAGGATGCATGAGCACCAACCAGTATGAAATCAATGCATAGATTTCCATTTAAAATGAAATCGCTTTGCTAGATTCACACACACGCGCACACACACACATCCCCTTTAGAAAACATCATATTTAAACAAATGAAAGACAATTAAGTGCAGGGCAAATGTGCCGTTAAGTCAGTAGGAAATTAGGGTTTAGGATTAGGGTTCAGTCTGTTCTAAATGGAATTGCTCTAAAGGGCAAATTCACAGAATGGAACTCTTCTTTGACCACTAGCTGTTTCTGGATTCAGTTGATTACCCTGACAAGAAATGCATTTTGCAAAACTATGCCTAGGGCTGTGATGGCGAACTTATTGCACGCGTGCCACAGGTGGCATGCAGAGCCATATCTGAAGGCACACAAGCATTGTCCTAGTTCAGCTCCAGCGCGCATGTGCGCACCGGCCACCTGATTTTCGGGCCTTCTGGGCCCACCGGATGTCGGGAAAAAGACTGTTTCTGGCCTCCGGAGAGCCTCCGGGGAGGGGATGGGGAAGGCTCCCCAGGCTCCAAGAAAGCCTCTAGAGCCTGGGGAGAGCGAAAAACAGTCCTACTGGGCCCACTGTGCCATCATGTGCCAAAAGTGGGGGGAAGTGTGAGGGGAGGTGTCGCACGCAAATGCTTGGGGGGGCGGGGCACATTGAATTATGGGTGTGGGCACACATGCACGCAACACCCCCCACACGACCCCCACTTTTGGCACGTGATGGCAAAAAGGTTAGCCATCAGTGGCCTAGGGTGTCATCTGTAACTGTTTCTGAAGTCATCAGATATCACAAGGGTTACCCATACTACTGTGATGCACTTCGTATGGGTATATCCATGAAGAGTGATTGGAATCCTTGATTAGGGCGAAGTACTGCAGCTAGGCTGCTAATAAAGTAAAGGGATCATGTCAGCATTGAGAAGGAACTACCTCTTCCACTTGTTACAATCACCGACACGGATTCCCTAGGTACATGAGAGAGGAGCCTAACCCAACCCTAACCCTATTCCTAACCCTATGATGTTCCTGAGCCACTGAAAGTTGTGCTCAGAAGTCACATTTAGCCCACATTCTTCTGCCTTTAGGAAATGGGAGAGAACCTTCCTTTCCACCTAGGCCATTTCAGTTCCAAATACTTCACGGTGACTTTAGCTCTTGTTCTGATCACATTGTTTGTTTGTTAGACTAAGATCCCACTGTTCAACTTAGTTGTTTTGGGTGTCCTGCAGGGATAATATCACTTGAAATGGTGATGCTGTTCCAACTTTACTAATTGCTCTCATGCTATCATTTATTCAGAGGGAATTAGAAATATGCTCTCTATTCTATCTTCCTAGCAATTAACGCTCCAGAGCATCTTTTTACAGGGAAGAGTAATATGCCAATATTTTAATAAGCAATCTGAAAGTGCAGTTACTGAAAGTATGTGCGAATTAAATATGTCATTTTCACCCAGTAGTTTTGGCACTTCTGATGTTTCTAAGACAACAGATAATGTGTGGAAATTATGTTGCATTTTAAAATTGTTTCTGCATTAGGGCATTCTTAAACTCATCCTTTGTATAGTTTGAGTGCACATCACCTTTCCACATAATGCATCAAAAGTAGAAATGCAGCAAATGCAGCAAATGCAGCTTTTTAAGTCCTGCAAGTTGACAACAATGTAACTAAGTAATATTTGTTGATTATGAAGTTCATGGAAAAAGTCAGCCTTTCAATAGACAACACGGTTGCAGAGATGGCGAAGATTTCAGCATATCTAAAAGATCGGACACAAGAGACTTATGTATAGGAGTGGAAAAAGTGGATAGATTATGTGCAGAATAAATATCAAACTAGGAAATATCAGATAGCTTTTAACTGAATGTATTATATAGGGATAGAATAATTGAATTTTGTGAAGATTTGAATAATATACAGGGGGTGGAGGGGTTCAAGTTTTATAAAATGTGATTTTGATTTGGATTATATTTTGTGGAAGTTCTGGGGAGAGGGGAGGGTTGGGGGGTTAGGGAGGGTTAGGGGGGACAGGGAGGGTTGGGGAGGGAAACTGGGGAGAAAATGTATTTGTAAAACTTTTTCAATAAAAAAAAAATAGACAACACGGGACAGGAGCAAATAGAATTAGAGCAGGAATATGTCTTATAATTAGGGAGATTATCCATCTGATTCACTCTTGTTGACGTTACTCGGCAATAGATTCAAGATTTCAAACAAACATTTTTTTAGGGTTCCCTGGAGAAGGAAAGGACATCTTGCATTCAAGCAACCGTTCAGCTCTTCCTTTTGCACGATGTGATTGCTCACCTCATTCTCAAACTGTTCTCCTTGTTGAATCTCTTGGGGATAGCCATCAATCAAGAATCCCTTCGAATTTTCCATATTGGTAAGTATAGCTTCTTTTAAGAGCTCCGTGACAATATCCTTAATTGAAGAATGCAAAATAGTTTGGTTTAACATCTGGTCTGAAAGCTGAAGTGCCTTAGAATGAGACATAACCTAATATGTTCTTATTCCAAGTATCTTGTGCACTCATGAGCATATACTATTTTACCATATTTACCTATTGAAGGCACTCCAAAATTCCTATCATTACTGACTCTTAATTTAAGACATTTTACAACTAGGAAAATGCTAGAAAATGTGGGGAAAAGGCAGTGCTCCCTTGAGAGCTAATTATTTTAAGTACTGGAGCACATTACGAAGCATATGTCTTGCAAATATATTCAATTGAAGGAGCCTTTTAAAAAAGGTCTCAATGAGAGCAGCAAAGATGCCTATGTTGTTGGGCTTCACTTACTGCCTTGCTTTCTTTAAAAAACAACAGGTAGTTTTGAGTTAATACATATTGTTCTTCAAACAAATTTCTGGAGAAATTTTTAATATTATCCAATCAAGCTTCTTCCTTCTCTCCTCCCACACACATACCCATTGTAGAGATTATACTAATTTTGGAATCATATCTTACCCCTGATAAAATTTCACCACTCTCGGTTATATCTCTGATGCTCTTACTCCTTCCAGATGCTGTCTCATTTTGGATCAGATCTTCTACAGACAGATGCATGAATCCATACTTTTGTGCTAATTTCTCACACTGGGTTGCTTTGCCAGAGCCTGGGCCACCTTTATAAGTAAGTATAAATTCTCAAATTAGAGAGAGAATAACTGACTCATCATAGACAAAAATGATCATAGGAGATACCAGTTAAACATCACAAAAGCATACCAATTAAATGGTGGTAGGAGTAGATTATAATATCTAGACTGAGCAGCGCAGAATCCATAATGAAGTCTCGTTTCATTTCTAAATTATTATTATATCAATGTTTTTCATATACAATGGCCCAGTCATTAACTGAGATGGGAAGCCATGAAAATAGATAGATAGATAGATAGATAGATAGATAGATAGATAGATAGATAGATATAGATATAAATATAGGTTTTAAAATGGAAATATTGCCCAACTAATCTTATCTGCAGAGTTTTAAGGGTGCTCGTTAAAAATTAATTCCCAAACAAGCCGCAATGACTTATCAACTACCCATGTAATAAAAAGGCAAGAGAAGAAAGAAAATGACCAATTTCCTATAAGAAAATTCTTTTTCCAACCTAATCCAATCTTAACTAAAAGTGAAGGTAGAAAACAAAATTTATAAATGGTTTTTACAAAATATATTACCATCAGTCCAAATTACCATTGTATATGGAATACAGGTAGTCCTCAGCTTTCAACCATAATTGAGCCCAAAATTTCTGTTGCTAAGCAAGACAGTTGTTAAGTGAGTTTTGCCCCATTTTATGACTTCTATTGCCATAGTTGTTAAGTGAATCACTGCAGCTGTTAAGTTAGTTAAATGAATCTGGGCTTCCCCATTGACTTTGCTTGTCAGAATGTTGCATACGGTGATCACATGACCCCAGGATATTGCAGCCATCATAAATATGAATCAATTGCCAAGCATCCGAATTTTGATCACGTGTCCATGGGGTTGCTACAGCAGTCATAAGTGTGATAAACAGACATGTCACTTTCTTCAATGGCGATGTTAACTTTGAACAGACACTAAATGAATGATTGTAATTTGAGATTATCCATATTTATTCATCCATCCATCCATCCATTTATTTTTAAACCACCAACTCTCTGTGTGATTTACAAGAAACCATGCCATGCCTAAAGTATGACTACAATAAACGGGCGATGGCTCACCCGTTAAAGACCCTCAGATGGAGAGCTGACAGCCTGGGTTTGAGACCCAAGCTCCACATAATGGGATGAGCTTCCATTATTTGCCCCAGCATCTGCCCACCTAGCAGTTTGAAACCACGCAAATGCAAATAGATTAATAGGTACCACTTCAGCCGGAAGGTAACACAGTATGCCTCTGACTTAGAGTCATGGTGGCCACATGACCATGGAAATTGTCTTCGGACAAAGCTGGCTCCCTCAGCCAAGAAATGGAGATGAGCATTGTGCCCTAGAGTCGGACACGACTGACGGGGAATCCTTTAACTTTTTACACCTAAAATGATACCATTCCAAAACTTTATAGCATGAAAATAACAAGTTAAAGAATGATTCATCCACCATATGAATAAGACTGGGAATCAGACCTCTGGTAAGTACCTGAGCTGAAAGGTTTTTTCCCCACAAATTCTTTTGGGAAAGATATAAGGAGTGGTGATACAGGGACTCTACCAAACAATTTTCAATTTATAAGTAATATGTTTTAGGATACACTTGGGCAGAGGCTTTCTGAGTTTATTATTTTTTTTTATAGCCCCTCAGTACACTGGAGATAGGTAGGATTTTTCTTTGATAAAGGGGGAATCTGTAGCTATGAATTATTTACACAACAGTTGCTGGAAGCCTGAGAACCAACTCTTAAAGAGGCAGTGCTACAGAAACAAGAAGAATCCTTGAATGGGTGTCACCAAACCTTTGAAGTTTAAATTTTATTCCCTAAATTAAATATTGTAAAGTCTGAAATCTAAGCCTACCAACTCATTTAAGGAAATTGTTAATTAGTAATTAATAATAGGAACTGAAAACTATTAGGACTTTGCCCAACATCCAAATAGAAAATGCAAATTTGTTATTTATTGATTTATTCTAATCAATATTATACAACTGGCATGTCCAATCTGTCACCCATAAGCTGCATGCAGCCCTGGACAGTAATGTGGCCCCATAAGATCGTAAACTTTTAATATTATTATGCGATATATTATATACTGTAAGTTAACTATATTATATATATGTATACATCGCTCAAGACAATTCCTCTCCACTCAATTCAGTCCAGGCAAGCCAAAATGTTGGATGCCCATGTGATACAAAGAATTAAACTAGACATTTTCTCAGAAGAAGAAAAAAAATTAAACAGAAAAAAAGTGTAGAGAATTATTGAGAAGTGAGAAGTGTTAAGAGAAATGGTACAGAGTAGGGTCTCCCAACCTTAGCTAGTTAAAGATGCACGGACTTCAACTTCTAGAACTTCCATTCTGGATGGGGAATTATGGGAGTTAAAGTCCACACATCTTAAAGGGACCAGGTTTGGGAAACTCTGATGTAGAGCAAGTGTTGGCACTTGGCAACCAATAAGGCACCCCCTAAAATAGCTACAAGCTCCCCAAATTCCAAAGAGAGGGTTTTTTTTAAAAAAAAAAACAAAAACAATTTTTAAGGAGATATACGTAGGTATGTCACTTCACAAGGATTCTTCATGCATCTTCATGAGAACTCAGAGTGGATTGTTTATCTCCTTTTGAATTCAATTTATCTCCTAGGTTCCTAAGGAAACATTTTTTTCAGTCTGTAGCTCATGACCTCTCTGTGAACTAGTTAAGAGGCTGCTTTCTTAACTGATAACAAAGATACGTCCAGGTGATTAGAATGTGAATCTCTGGTTCTAAACCTATTAGTACAAATGAGTTCCTCCTTCCATATGTAAAGCTTTTCATCTTAATTAATTAGTTCAGAGATCTTTCAGGTCAAAGAATTGGGGGGGGGGGGAGATGATTTTTTTACTGTTTACATTTCCTTTCAAGAGACAAATCAGCAGGCATAGGCATATATTTTCTCTAGGTTGTATCAAACCTAGAGAATCTATCCAAAGGTGTCATTATTAATGCTCCCTGTAATAATCCAGTAAAATTGCAAAACTAAACAATAAAAGCTGAAATTTTGTAATTAAAAGCTTTACTGAAATCCATCAGGAGCCAGTTCCAAATATGCACGAACAGGATCAGAGGACACATAAGCAGAAAAGGGATTATCCTGCAAACAAAATTATCCTTCCTCAATACATATGTAACAGGATATCTGAAATTCTGTATTATTATTATTACAGTTTGTTGCATGGTCACCCATGTTATTAGACTGTTGAGTCCTTCCCAAGATTCTGGGACAGGCAATGTTGTTCTTTGATGTTTTACCATATTATTATAGAGTGGAAGGAGTGGAAGAATCTGGGGCGGGAGGGTGGAGTTCAAAGAGAGATCAACCTAGAATCTCCACCTAGCCACAAGAGAGCTAAACCCAACCCCTCTTGAATTCTGTTGACTCTTACCTAATTCCTAGCAGGTGCTAACTGTTAGTTGAGAATAATCCTGTGCACAGGTGTGAATAGCAATAAATCACTTTAATTTAACCTTCATGTGTGGATCTGATCTTTCACAACTGACAATTACAAAATTATGTTTTAACAACTACCACATTGATATCATTAAAAATAGCCTTCTCATAACTTTCCACATTATAGATTACTTGCAAACAACTACACTCTACCACATTTTCATTGGCTAGCAAGATAGCTTTTGTGAGGAGAATTGCCCCTGACTTCAAGCCAGTGTTTTTCTATTGTTAAGATCAGGGATGCCAAACTCACGGCCAGGGGCCAGATGCGTCACGCGCTGGCTAAGCCCACACCCATTTAGGAAAGGGGGAAAAAGTCATGATACATCACATGACGATGCCATGACGACTCAAGTTTGATACCCCTGGTCAAGATCATCCATTTGATTTTAGACAGGTTCTCCTCATGAGTAGGCAGGGAAAACTACTGTTTTTACAATTAATTTATGATGAAGTGGCTGAATTTGGGATTACATCAAGATCACACTCCCAAAGCATCCTTTACAAATGTTAAACTTGACTTATATCTTAAATTACTTTTTTTGGATTTTCTTTTTTTACATTTTGGAGAGATTGATTCTTTGTAGTGGCAAAAATTTCACTGTATTCATCTTGTAAGTTTCCATCTCCTTATGTCACAAAAGAGTATGGATTGTATAGTTTTTGGAAAGTTAATTATGGAATAGGAGCCAGAAGAATTTAGAATTATAGTTATTTAGTTTATTTATTTATTAGTTATGTATATATTTTACTTAGAATTATTTAGAAGATATTTTCTCACGGGAAAATGGAAATTGCTTTTCTTTATTTAATGATAAGGAAACCTTTAAGACTGGATACTCGATCCCAAAGATAAAAAAAATACAACAGAAATCTTTGATTATCTTTCAGTGAGGTTTTTCAACAGAATGGATAACATGCTTGCTAACATTGTCAGAGTAAAGTTTTTCTAATAAAGTTGGAAGCAATAAATATGCTAGAATGAATACCCATGAAATTAATTTGAATTTGAATTTAATATAAATAAATCTGAGGGGATGACTCATTCCCTAATGGAGATGAACAAATAATAAATCAGGAAATTGATTTGGACTTTTTGTTTTTCTTCTGAATATTCAAAACAGCTTTGCTAAGATTTAGAAGGACTTTTTTAGAAGTGACAAAAATGGATAAATTTTACATTGATAAAAAGAAATCCATTAACGTTCTGAAGGATTTTCGCTTTGAAATGCAGTTGAGTAGAAAAGTGCTTCTGAGTCATTTTTAACAGGGTTAAGAATAATTTTAATTTTAAATTATTTTTGGTTTTTTCAACCAGGGTTAAAAGGAAAAAAAATAGTGTATTTGGTTAGTCATAGTAAACTTTTGCTGACAGAAAATGATTGATGTAGCAATTGGACCTTGTTTTACTTATCTAAGAGAATATTGGGGAAAAGAGAGATTGTGGTTTATTTAGAGACAGCAATAAACTATTAAAATTATT